AGATATGAAGAACAGGATGGTGCTGCCTTTTGTATGGTTGTGGTCTCCTTTCGTTGTATATAAGTTGTTTGACGTTGCTTTTGCAACGTCTAGGATTCTTGCCAATATGACCAAGTTGCGAAAGCAAGGCCTAACAACTTTGCTAGTTTATTTCTGGTTTTGCACTGCACACACAAGCAGGCACACTCACATGTTTATAGATTGGCATGAAACTTGAACTAACTCACCTTATACTTCAACGAAATGAAAATATTTGAGGTTTATGTACACAGCATTTATTTACAAGTTTTCCTGACTCTTGAATATGGTTGTAAGAATGATAACCTGCTCTGATGATGTTCGTCATGTGATAAACGAAAGCTTAGCAGGTTTTCACAAGAATCGAAGAAGATTGCCTCGGGGACTCTTCAGGTAAGCCAACCGACAGTTTGCCAAGAGGAGTCCGGCTTCTTTTTCTGCTGGGATCGACCTTAAAACTTATTTTCACACCTACTTTCACTCGAACTGGAAGTGAGCTCATCAATTACAAACTTTGTCTCTAATAAATGATGTGTATTCACTCAACTTAGTTTAGCGTAACAAGGGGGCTGTTAGTTTCATTTTCCCACAATGATATGGGTATACCTTATACTTCCATTTAAGTTCACATATCCTTGCCTCCCAAAATATATTCTCATCCTTGCAAAAGTAGACTGCAGTTGTGGCCTCGCCTAGGTTTCATCGGCACCCTCAGCGGGACGTGAACTATGACAGTGCAGCGTATGATCTCCACGCGTTAGCCACTATGCCACGACTGCCCCTGGGTCACATGAAAGGTGTGAATTCAAAGGAAGCATTTACTAGCAATCTCGAAAAACTACTTATAAACGAAAAGTAGTCTCATAGTTCGAACTTTGTCCATGCTTGCTTTCTTATGCTGGCTTCTTACGGCGGGACTATACTAATTGTAAATCCTCACTGGGACGATTACGGTGGTGTGACTTTTCGTCTGGTTGAAATCTCGTTTAGCCTCTTTTAGACATCTCGTTTTCGCAATTTGCTGCCGTCTACAGGGCAATTGTATTTCGCCTTACTTTCACCCGTTCCTCTAACTCTACACCTCCAGCATGCTACATTTTTGCACGTTTTGCTGGCATCTTGCTATTTTAGTGTGTATTAAGTTTCTGTTACGAATGAAATTGCTAACTGGTAATGCTGACGAAATGTCTGCGAATATATCTTGTGGATAGTAAGATGCGAAAGGAAGACAAGACAACAATGCGCAAGCAGGCTTTGCTGCCTACACCCCGTAGAAATCTTGAAAACACGATCAAGTTGCGAAAGATAGCTTAACGGACTCAAGGCCTTACTCAACTCTGTTGACCTTTTGACCCTTGTACTACACGAATCTCATCGTATTTATGGTTGTCTAGACGTCCTCTCGGAAGGTAGCACATTTATGATATTTTCTAATATATTTAATGTCTATTTTTGTACCAGTTGTAGGGGATGTTGCGCTTTGAAGTAATTGCTTTCATCTGTTGTAACTTTTCTCTCTCCATCTCTTTAGAGGAGTGTGCGTGCAGGCGCCGTGTTTCTGTGTCCTCATGGAGTACTGTCCGTACGGCCAGCTCTACGACATCCTGCACAGTGGCCGCATCATCACTACCAGCCATGTGGCAGATTGGTCCCGACACATCGCTGATGGAATGCACTACTTACACACAAATAAGATCATTCATCGAGACCTCAAGTCTCCAAAGCAAGTCTTTCACTCCTATTACATTTTCCTTTCCTTCTCCATCTTGCCCCTTTACTTCTTCTCTCTCGATAGATGAACTGTGAAACCAACAAATGCCCCTATTCGCTCGGATGGGGTAGCAACCACATTGACCTTGACCTTAACCTCCCTTTTTTCCAAAGTAAGTGGAAACTCAGCTTCCTACACTTTTTGACCGTGGCATCGTACCTACTTGATTCTGAAACTCCTCATGAAGTTGTGGTCATTCCTCGACCATAAACTCGGCGGCATACATTTTATCCTCGAAATTGAGCAAATTCATTACCAATATTAAGTAATAAGTACCGTAGTCACCTTCCCGTGATCCAAATGAACCCATTCTAAGCATTCGTCTGCTCCACCGTGACAGACAGTGTTAGAACAAGAAATTATAATTTACGAAAAAACGCACCAAGTATAATAAGCCAAGAAATTAGAGCGTCTCACTGTAATTACACTCACTTATTATACATAACTTTGCTATCCTAATAAGACATCTCTGATTTGGTTGGCTATTTCATACCTGACATAACTTCTTGGTAATGGGAAAGGTTGATACATAAATAGGAAGTGGATATGGTACCAACTGTATCTTTATCTAAATAAGCTATCAC